ACAAAAATCACTACCATTGCCGACAAGCATCAAGATGGTTGGCCCCATTTCTTGTCAGGTGATCCCCTCATCTACCCAAAGACATTGCAACTTGTCTAATGAGGACAATAAGCGGGGCCTGACTTTCCTCTAGATATCCTGCGCGATTAGCATCCATGCTTTCAAGATCCTTCTTCTTCCAATGCCCACCATCCCAATGCTAGCAACATTCTGCTGTCGGCTGCAAACATGAGACGCCAAGCATAGTGCTAGGGCTCTGGCCATCAGACGGCTTCTTTGCTAACAGCCGCTTCCATTCGCGCTCCTGCTGCCGCCGTCTGGCCAACGGCACCTACAGCTGGCGCAACAAGCACAAGAGTGTGTTTTCAAGATGTGTAAATATGCTGTTCAAGATCCCATGCAAACATGGGAATGCAGAGGGGATTAGAGGGGTCCTGCTGAAAGGACTACACTGGGAGCATTGTGAGAAACTGCCAAATTCTCATTGCCGCACAAGTACTGGTAGCCGTCAGTCAGGGGTAGCAGTGACGATGGCGAAGGTAACGCTTCTAGCAGTGAAAGAAAAAAAGCGACAGGATAAATGACGAAATCGTTCGAGACGTCGATCAGTGACAGCAATCATTATGACAGCGCGAAGGCGGCTGATTATTCGTAGGCTGATAGACTGCCGACTTTTTGAAAATAAACTGCCGAACTCGGTGCCTCGCTGATCTATTCTTTGAAAATCCTGCAGGGCCAGAATAGAAATTCAAGCATAACATACTTGCGAGGTGTCAAGTACTTAGGGCCATCAAGGGTTGTGTTTTCAACGGTTAAACCTAGTCCCCTTTGATTGGTGACGAGCGTCTGTCTGGCTAAGAACATCAAGTGGTCGTGAGCAACTGACCATTTTCTTGGATGACATCAAGGACTTGCGCCGCCTTGATATACACATGCGCATAGACATGTGGTAGTTTCCATAAATGGGGGACTCTAATTCAGACCCGGTATACTGCAATCCTAATCCAGAAGCCCTGAGCGCCTCCCGAATACTTCGCAAACCCTACAATCCTTAAACCCCTCATCCCCGACCCGAACCTTTAGACCATAGTCCCTGACCCCTAAAACACGAGCCCTAATGCCTAAACACCAATCCTCAACACCACCAAAAACACTAAACCCCTAAATCCTACGATCCCTAAACCCCAAACCCTAAACTCCTGAACCCCTCAAAGGCCCCCAGAGGCCTCGTTGGGCTGCCAGGCAGGCCTTACCTTGATCCGTGCCGCCTGCCGACGGGTCGCCTGTTGCTGTCAAAGGCTGGTTTGGGGTTTATAGGGTTACGGAAAAGAAAATGGAAACTACTGTAAGGTTTAGGGTTTGGGATTTAAGGGTTTAGGGGTTTAGGGTTGTAGGCTTTTAGGCTCAGGGGTTTTAGGGTTTTTTGCAACGGCTCTTCTACGTCTGGGTTTTAGGGTCTAGGGCTTAGGGTTTTAGACTTTGAGGCTTGGGGTTTAGGGTTTCAGGGTTTTAGGCTTTAGAGGGATTTGGCAGGGCACCGCTTTAAGCGTCCCTGTAAGGCTTTTCTGAGGGGTCCCTTAGCAAATAGTTTATCACATTATGGGATCCACAAGGCCCTTTTTCATCAATACAACCCTTTATGCCATGCAAACCCTTATTCAACCCTCCAGAGGGCCCAACAACTTCAATGCCTCCCTGCCTCATATGGTTTCCTTCTTGTTCCCTCAAAAGTTCTAAGAGGACCCAGCCCCCATAAACCCTAAACCCCAAACTCCCCAAACCCTATGCCTACATGCAACCCCTCTTCCTCAAGCCTCCTGGCCTGCCAAACACGGGCCTCCAAGGATGCGCGGGACCTCAGGTAAGGGTGTCACTTGTAGCACATAATGACCACACTACTGAGTCACTACTGCCAATGGTAGAGAGGAGCGGGAAGGCAGGAAGGTTGAGGATTTTGGTGGTCTAGGTCAGTTACTGCATTGGACGTTCTTCGGGCCCCGTCAAGATTGCAAGTTTCTGCGGTGCGGGTTGTCCAAGCCAATGTCGAAATTTTGCAGATACTTCGAGCTTCGGACTACCCAAACTAGATGTGGTTTTTGTTTCTGAGATGCATTTAGATTTTTGTTTCGGAAAAGGGCTATACTCTAGATAGAGACATATGATTTGGATATATGTCGGCTTTTGATCCACTCAGGGCGCAGGGTTGAGTTGCAGAGGCTCACATGCCAGGGGTATCTGGAGAATGGTCGATTGGTGTCTTGACGTACCCACATTGTCTGGATCCGAGGTTTTCTGCCCAATTGCCATGACTCCTGACACTATGACACACTGGGTTTCTGTTAAGGAACTTGAATTAAGTTACTATATTGGGGAAACCCTATTATTGACTATATAAACCCATTATGGTAACTTAATTTGAGTTCCTTAACAGCAACCCAGCGCATTTTTCAGTTCTGGATGCATGGGAGGCCCCTGTGCAAAGTCACCCTGAGCTCACAAATGACTCTGAAAACTCTCTCCGCCAGAACTTGTTAAGGAGTTCTTTTGGCTAATGCAGGTAGAGATTTAAAGTCTGGTGGATGTGTTTGTTTTTTGATTTCAACCAGTATTTAATGTGGTTCCCTGTGGAGATTGTATTGGGTTGGGATTGAGGTTGATTCCGCAGGCAGCAAAAAAGGGGAACGAATAGGACTCGTTAAATCCTTAAAACCCTAAAGGTGCCGGACTCCTAAAATAAAACCCCCCTGTTTCAACTGTAGCCTAAACCCCCTAATCACTCCAAAGGCTTTAAATACTCAGCTGCCAAAGAGCTCAGAAGCCGTTGGCGCAGCCTCGGACAGCTCGAAGAGCTCCTTGATGCTGCCTGCATAATTTGACGAGCCCCCTCCAAATCCTATAATATCCTATAGACCAGCAGCCGGCTCCCAATTTCCCAGGCTCAAAGGGTTTCCTCCAAATTGGTCAGCTACGGAGTAGGCCGGGCCTTCATAACAGCCCGGCTCACACCTGCGTGGAGCGCCCGCCGGCCGGGCCTCCCAAATAGACACTGAGGAGCTTTGAGGCCGGACATGGGTTCTCCAAACCGTGAACCCTAAAAACCCTAAACAACCCTTTAAAACCCTAAAACACACTAAACAAACCCTAAGCAACCTTAACAACTTGGGGATGCCGCTGCTAGCGACTATTCTGTGCGGTGCCCTGATGAAAAGGATTACTGTTAGCTTTGACGTTGCAGAAAATATGAATATTCTCGGGGGCCCCAGGGATATTCAGGACAACTCGAACCTCAGCTTAACAATGCTTGACCGCAGCATTACTGAACGCATCCAGGGTTTGGGTCTACATGGCTTTGAAACTTTCTAGGTCAGATTTGGACGCATGCATGTCTAACAGTGGTGGTTCTAATATGTGTTAAGTTTAAGTAGTACAAAGAGCTCTTAATCGTACACCAGGTAACACCTAAACTGTTCCTGAATCTTTGAGTTCAAACTTAGAAGTGTTGGACTTGCGCAGGATGCTTCCGGTGGTATCGCACTGCAGCAATACGCTGAACAGGAAAAGGCACTAGGGTATCCCCTTTTCAGAACCTTTCAATTCCTCTTGTAACCCCATACATACCTGCAGTAGCTATGGGTGCCTTGATTTGAAAAGCCTACAAAAAAGTATCTTCAGAAAGGGACCAAAACCTGAGATTAGAACCTGGAGCCCTGAGTCCCTGCGCATGAAGTTCCACTTGCGTCACCATCCAGTTCAGAGCCCTTCCCAGGACCAACCGCACGCGGAAGGATCCCATACCCAAGATTACCTCGGAAATCGTCAGTAAAGGGCAATGAAAGCGTTAAACAGAGCTCCCACCACAAGAACAAGCCGCCAGCAAGTTGGCTTTGACAGGCCCCAGAACCCGAACATTGGGGTAATGTTGGGGTTATACTGGGATAATGGAAAACAAATGGAAACCTACTGTTTAGGGTCTAGGGTCTAGGATTGTTGTCCTCCCCTGCCTCATCCGCGTCTGAAGTGTCAGCGGGCCCCATGCGGATCTTCGAGGAAGCTTGCATTGAGCTCCCAGCGGATCTACTGAGGTCAGTGTATGCTGGTTGCGCACATTTCCGAATGCAAGGACCCTACAATAGTTTCCATGCTCTGCACCATTATCCCTATGTAGCCCCTATTAAAACCCCCATATTACCCTACAACGATCAAGAGCAATCTAGGATGGCAACAGCTTGTATTGGTCAATCGCTGGGGGAACGGCTCTGTTCCAAGCCTTGTCTCGGCGGCTGCAATGCATATATATCCGGAGGGAGAAGCGCACCGTAAAGCGAAAAATATTTGGCGCTTTCCCTGAATGAAGGGCACCCAAATAGACCCCAATATACTATAATCCTGAGCATGGGGGCCCCCGAAAATGATGCCTGTAATTTTGGGGAACCTCCATGGACATCATGGCCTCCTGGACTTGGACTTCAATGCTGTGCAGAGAAGTCAAAACAGCTTAATGCAACCATTGACAACTCATGAGGCGCACGACCTAAACTCTGCATGAGCCATAGTCTAAACTCCTGGTATCCCCCCTAATAAGCTTTGAGGAGTTTAGACTATAGCTCGCATAAACCCTAAACCCTTTACACCTCCTTGATGCGAGGCCCGAACTCCACGCAGCTGCCCGTCAAAGAGAGCAGGCCTATGCAGCTTGGTGCCCAACCCTCAACCCTAAACAGTGGCTTAGGGTTTAGGACCCTAAACAGTAGTTTCCATTTTCTTTTCCATTATCCTTATACAACCCCAATAATATACCCCATATCTACTTAAGGGGGCTACATTATGATTTCTACTATAGTATTGCTATTGTTGTTTTTATTTCTACTATATTTCGGTGTCTTGAAAGTTTAGGTTGCATACCGCCCCCAAAACAGCAATCATACATACGAACATATTTGGGCATCATCTAACTGCAATAATGAATTCCAACGTTTGGGCCTGTTATGGGCTCAGGGTTTAGAGCAAAAGGGTTAACAGCTTCTGGCTTGTGTTGTTTGCCAGGGATTAGAGACATGCATGAACAACTCAAGCGAACCCCTTCAACCTATGCGGGTCACTACCCGGACAATATGGAAGTCTGCGCATCCCTGATGTTTCTGGTTTCCCGCTGTGGGGGCTGCATGAAGAACGTGTCTTAGATTTTGGCGGTCTTGGCTAGCGATTTCAGAGTTTGTCGTATGGTTTGTGCACAGATCGTTAAGTGCTACCCCTTTATTTGCCAGTTGAGCCAGAGCACCTAGAAACTCAACATAAGAGACTTACCATGCTCTACAAGGTCAGGCCTCAGGAGTCGAGCGCTGGGCTGGACAAGAAGGGAAAGGGGGTGTGCTCGTACTTGGCTGTTGGGACTGCCCTCCTTATTATGGCTTTCAGGAAGGTGCGTAATCCCGAAATGCGGGGTGTGGATACTAGCAGTAGCAGCACTAGCTCTGCATTGCAAAGCCTCTCGCAGCTATGCAGCAAACTGTATGCTTAAAAGGGATTTGAGACCATCTTCTCTTACAAGTACATTTGGAGTACATACAGATACTTCTGTGGGATTGCTCGCCTTTCGGCCTTCTATAAGCCCTTGCTCCAAGCCCAAGTCAACCACCAAATCCTCAACCCCATGCTCTAAACTTCGATATCTACACCCAAGCCCCAAACCGCGAAACCCTACATCCAAATGTCCAATTCCCACTTAACTCTTACCTCGAAAACCTAGGACCGAACCCCAAACTCTAAACCCTAAGCCCTAAATCCTAACACCACGAAACCTGTTTTCCCGCCACCCTAAGCCCCAAAGCTGAGCCCCAGGCTCTCCACTTGCCGAGTCGCCCTCGGCTTTCAGCTTACGCCCGGAGAGGTGGTACCTTCAATCATGAATCATAACAGTTTTTTGTTTGGGATGGGGACAGGGGGGTAGGGCTTGTAGGGTTTAGGGGAATTTGGGGTTTAGGCAAGGGTGTAGGGAAGGGTTTGGAGGTCCGAGGGTTTAGGCTTTTGGGCGGTACCTTCCATCATGCCATGCCGCTGACTCAAGGAAGTCCTGTATCGTGTAATTAGAGCCCCCTCTATCCCTGCAGGTACGCTGGCTCAGGTGCCAAATTCCTCCATTGTTCTCTGGGAGGGTTGTGCGAGTTTTGGCTGTTGGGCTTAGGATTATGGGCCATTGTCTAAATTCCTTTATCCCCGATAATAGCCCCTATAGAGTCCCCTATATGATCAAGGAGTTTAGACATGTAGTCTGCAGTACATATTTACCGAAACTTCGGAGGGTTTGCATATTACCGATGGTGCAAGAAATGCGGCCGAATACACTACAGGGAACGTGCACGTGCTTACCCCCCCCCCCCCCAGTCCCCATGGTGTGATCCTTGTTCTTCCTTCCTGGTCTATGCTGCTTGCTAGCAGGGTGCACGACTTCAACGCCCACGTCCCAGAAGAAGGTTCCATATTTCAAGTGCTCCTGGAGTGCAGCTCCAATTTGGCTACTACACGTTTTTTGGGGGATGAAATAGGGGGGTCATAAATCATATATAGGGGCATAGATTGGAATCTTTTATGCAGGGGTTGGAAGGGATCAGTTGGGGCATATGGGATAATCTAGGGGAATGGAAATGAAATGGAAGCTACTATCTGATGTTTCAGCAAAGGGAGCAGGGGGTCTACTTTTCGATTTTCAAGGGTCTCCAAACGCAGCGATGGCCAAGCCACGCACTTTGTCGCGTTGTCATGCACTATTGACTAGGCAAAGCCTGCAATGGCTAGGCGATAGTTGTGTAACTAATAAATACGAACCTTCTGCAAAAGGGAGCTTTGGTGCATATTATCATAATATGAGCGTTTGAGAGATTGCCTGCTCTGCAGAAGTAACCACCAACAAATTCATCTGTTTTGCTGAACCGCTTGCAGTCGTGGTGCAAAAAAAAAAGGTCCTATCTCAAGCCGGCAATTGCTACTAGAATTAGGGCGTCGAAGACCGAAAGCCGCAACAGGGCATGACTAGATCAGCTGAGGCCAGTTGAGCCATAATCTGAAACTCCTTAAATGCGCGTGATAGGGGATTATATGAAGGACTGCTATAAGGGTTTTAAAAAGGGGGTACTAGGAGTTTAGACTACGGCTGACTCCAATCTCAAAGGAACCCTCCGAGGAACTACGGAGCGAGGCATTTGTCGTTCGTAGCTTATCCAGACCCTAAGAGGAATCTAAAAATGGAACCACAACACAACTCCTCATGCCACGGATGGAAGCATTGGCGGCTACCATATGTATGGTGCTCAAAAAGCCCTCACGCCTTACATTAGACGCAATTCAGGAGCAGTTGTTACAGAAAGGCTTTGAAGCATGATTTAGGGCCTCTTCGCCTAGGGCCTAGGGGCCTCAGCCTCGTACAGTACACTCAATCGAAGCCACAAATCGCAATCATACTGCTTTACATGCAGGCTCCTACAGCTACCTCTACATCTTCTATGCAATTCCGGTAATTCCAAAACATTTCCAGATAACCCGCTAAACCCTAGACCCCTAGACCCACAAACCCCGAAACTCTAAACTGGTTTGGGGCTCCCTGGGCCCTGGGCTGCCTCCTCCAGGTTAGTGGCTTTCAAGAGCTTTGGCCACATCTGCTCCACGCCGAACCTTCGCCCACAGTTGGGTTTGGGGCTGAGGGTTCCAGATGTCGGGCTAAGGTTTGTAAGGTTTAGGGCTTGGGGTTTGAAGTTTTTTTATTTTTGTTGTTTGTTTTTGTTTTGCCACACCTTTTTCCATCTGCATGGAGGTTTTAGGGCCAGGGTTTAAGGGCAAGTTCCTGGTTGCCTCGTAGGGCATGACGGAATAGACTTGCTGAGGGCTTCTTCAACCTGATTTAGACTTGGGGTTTCTGTAGTCCCCTTAGACCTAAAATGAGAATGCTATTCTCAATAATTCCTGAGGGATATGATACACAGTTTTTATTTGTTGTCCGGGCAACTGGTCACTGGAAATGTGGTGAGTATGTTATCGTTTT